GCAACAGGAAAAAGGAGTATAAGAAGCTGGAGAAATACCAGGGCCTGAAGGAGGAACTAGAAAGGATGTGGAAAGTAAAGGCCAAAGTGGTCCCAGTAGTGATAGGAGCACTCAGGGCTGTGACTTCTAAGCTGGGAGAGTGGCTCCAACAGATCCCAGGAACAACATCAGAGCTCTCTGGAAGAGTACAATGGTAGGGACAGCTAAGATACAGTGCAGAACCCTCAAATTCCCAGGCCTCTGGTAGAGGACCTGAGATTGAGGAAGACATATGCCACACCCATAGGGATGAGAAGGGATTTTATAGATATAATGTAGAAATCACTGGCTTACAAAAAATATAGCTCCAGTGGCCTGAAGGAAACAGGAAGAAAAAATCAAGGAGTGCAATGTGCCTGTTTTCACAACCAATCTGCATCAGATTCATTCTGATTCATTCATTCTGTTAGCCATTTGGAAGTGTTTGAATAGAAAGGCAGCATGTAGGTTTACTACAAGGAAGGAAGGGAAGGAGGAAGGAAAGGTCATGGCGGTCAGCCTCAGTGGAATGACTGGCACCAGAGAGGCTTTCTTTAGTGAAATCCAGCTTCCAGTGGCTATTAAAAGCGTCCTGGATCTTTCCTTGAATTACTACCACTCCCTCATTCAGGTCTGGACATCACATTAGCCAGAATTTCATAGCTGAAACCAAAGCCTGTTTGCTGATGCAGAAATAAACCCATTTAGTCAGATGAATGGCAGGGATTTCTAATGTGTTTTGACAGGATTATTATCTCTAATGACAGGAATAAAGTACCATGTTAAAAGGATGTTAAAATAGCAGGCACCACAAATCAATTAATGGGAAACAAAATATATCACAGAGGTGTTTTTTTAAAAAGGAAAAATAACAAGAACAAAGACTCCTGCATAAGATAGTCAGGAGATGGTTTAACAATCAGGTTTCAGTTGAAAGAGGACAAGGAGAAATATATATTTTTAAGGAATCCATTGTCCGGGCAAGAGAGAAGATGGATATGCCAGAGAAAGGCCTGAGGATTAAATTAAACCACACAGCCCTAAATGTTTATTCAGAAGAGCATGACTAATTTTAAAATTAGTGAGGCTTCATCCCAGGTAAGTGGGTATAAGGTTGCAACCCAAATGCCAGATTTTAGTGCCAATGTGGCGTCCTTGGTGCTATCTGAGCTTGGTTGTTTGCTTGTAGACATTCCATTACCCGACAAGGTAACATCACCGGTGCATCCAGTTAGGTAGCATCATCTCCACAGTCCAACCCTGAGCTACAAATATACTCATCATTGCCAATGACAAACCTGTGAAAAGGATGTAAATTCTGAAATTTAAAAAATCCATCTATTATGAGCTAGCCTTTCCAAAGTTTCCTATGCAGGAAAATACAGGACATAATACTCCAAGATATTTCCCTGCTCTTTAAAAAAAATTGGATGCTTCTGTATTTATATTTCATATCTCTATCTCTATCCATGTATTAATAGGAACAATGATTTGACAGTGTTTTCAACCGGCACAGTAGGTGTTTAACATTGTAACACTTACGCTTTATGGTTTAGTATGAATGAAATCTGTGAATTATTAGAAACATTAAATGAATCTTCAAGTGTGTCAGAAAGGTCCCCCCTCTTCCCCCCTCCCCAATATGCTGGCTTGCTAGAGTTACCTATTTTTGCCATTTCAAAATATGGGATCTGTCACACTCTTTCCACAAATAAAGGCAAGCTAGGCTGTTCAGCTTTGGCTGATGCACCAATTATAGGCAGTCCTCAACTTATGACCACAATAGGGACTGGAAAATTTGTTGTTAAGTGGTGCAGTTGTTAAGTGAGGCATCACATGACTGCACCCAATTTCACGATATTAAGAGAATCACCACACTTGTTAAATGAATCACATGGTCATTAAGCAAATCACGTGGTCATTAAGTGAATCACTCAGTTCCCCATTGATTTTGCTTGTTAGAAGCTGGCTGGGAAGCTCACAAATGGTGATCATGTGATCCCGGGATGCTGCAACCATCATGCCAGTTGCCAAGCAACGAAATTTTGATCACATAACCATGGGGACGCTGTGATGGTTGTAAGTGCAAGGACCAGTTGTAAGTCACATTTTTCAGCACTGTTGTAACTTCAAACGGTTGCTAAATAAATGGTCATAGTCAAGGACTACCTACCAGGATGCCCTGACCTCAGGAGCTCATACCTTGTAATGATATGTGGGAATGACCTTGGGAGACAGGGTAAAGAGACGCAGCCAAGGGAATGGTCAGATAAAAGGCATCTGAGCTTGCAACAGGAATGTGGGTGGGGCAAGCGGCTCAGAAGGGACCCTCCCTAGTTTCTTGGGCTGTAAAGGGGATGAAGGGAGAAATGTAGTTTCAGACTTAAAAGATTCTGTTAATGTAATCTTATAATAAAGTGAAATTAACTCATCTGACTCTGTTTCCTGTCTGGTGTACCTCAAAAGGCTGACATACCTCAATCTCCACTTGTTTGGACTTCTGCAATGTGTTGTGTGTAGGGCTGCCTTTGGAGACAACTTGGAAGCTGCAGCTTGTAGAAAATGGGGCAGCAAGATGATTGACCGGACAGCCCCACCAGTACAGAATAATATTATACCAAAGTCATTGCAATAGTTGTCAGTATGCTTCTGGACCCAATTCAAAGGGCTGGTCATTACTTTAAACCCTAAACAATGCAGTACCAGGATACCTCGGGCAACGCTTTGCCAGAATCAAATCTGTCTGTCTGGTCCTGTCATCAAGAGATGGCCTGTTGCCAGTCCTGTTCCCGTTGAGGTTCACAGGTGGTAGGTTAGACAGCAGGCCTTCTCTGTAGTAGCTCAACCACAGGGCATACTCTCCCCCTAAAACTATGCACAGCCCCCACCTTGTTGCAGTTCTGTAAGCAGATTAAAGCTGTTTTATTCCAGTGCACTTTCAGTTCCAGCTATCTGACTGTAGGTGCCTATCTGGAATTTTACTGAGGTTTTATCTTTGTTTTCCGGACTTATTTTTTTGTTTCTGATAGCATTCCTGATTTAGTTATTTATTATTATGCTTCTTGTTTTGTTTTCTTTTTCTTTGATGCTGTACGCTGTCCAGAGTTCTTTGGGTTATAAGTACTGCAAAATAAATCAGTAAATAGATCGATATTTCTCGCCCCCAGCCTTTGGGGGACCACTGTCTCCCTGTGGCGATGGGAGATATTTGATAACTTTCAGATATGGAAGTCTCCAGTTTTAGTGGGGCAGGCATAGTCTTCTTTCTTTAAAAGGGGGCAGTGCCAAAATGTTACTGAGAATGATTGTACATCATGATTTCAGACTACTGGACTGGAAATTGGGAAAGAGGAAAATATCTCTTGCCAAGACTCCTGGAGGAGGAAGGGCCCATCATGGCCACCTGCCTCTCCCTTCTATTGCTATGTGTACTAGCCACCCTCTGACATGTGCTCTCTCTTTTTGGCCTTCCTGTGCTCCCTACTTTAGGTGCAAGAAGATGTGCTCCTTCTTTGAAGTTTCCTTCCATCTTCAGTGAGCAGGATCAAAGCTGTATACGCTGCTGTGGTTCCCAACCCAAATGGAAGACATAAGCTTGTCCTGACAAACTTGAGTTGTTCCTTGTTCTTCTTTGGGATCATCCCCCTTCCATTCAGAAAATAGGGGTGCTTCCTTTTATTTGATCTTCAGCCTAGAGCTTGGGTGTGTTTTCCTTTGACAAGTCTGCTTCTGTTCTGCTTCAGTCCACACTGTGCAGCCGTCTCTCCAGAATTTGCCTGCGCTGTGTGTCCGAGTGCTTATCGTTATTAACCCTGCTGGCTGAGGCTGCTCTGAATTGTGGTTCAGCATGTGTGCCCCCTTCTATTATTGTGCTCTTGATCCATTTTTGCTGGCCTCCTGCCCTTCCCTACTGTTATCCTGAAGCATTCAAATGATTTGGCATATCTTTTGAAACAGAATGGCAAGCTGAGCATTTTTTAAAAAAAATATTTATCGTATTTATATACAATATTGCCCTTTACATACGATATTATATATTGCCAATGGTTTAGATCTTGTTCAGAAAGATGAACATTAAACAAAAGTTCAAAAATCCACATTTTACCCAGAAGTGCTTCATATACCCACAGTTGCAAGGGGCAAATGTCCTGTGATGGCCTTAGGTGGCCTATAAATTTAACGAACATAGGGAAGTGCGAGTGGTGAAGTTGGTGAGACAAAACTGTTGTCAAAACAGTGCAGGTGCCCTTCACGTTCAAGGCCAAAAAATGAGTGGCAAAAAGTCAGTTCCCATATAAGGGTAGGAGAAAGACATGCACGCTTTAAAACTTGGGGCTGTTATAAAAAAAAGGGCTTGATCACCTGATTCTGCCGTGCCCAATTTGCTCCACTCTTAGGGTTCCTGGATCAGCAGTAAAAACTATATGCCTCTCCAGGCATTGTCCTTGACTCTTTCCTGAGAGCTGGTTTGAGTTCCTAGAGAGGAATTTACTGCGGAGCAGTGAAGACACTAAAGGCCAATATCTATTAGCCTATCTGGTGGTGACCATAGCACAGTATTTTTCAACCTTAGCAACTTTAAGATATGTGGACTTCAACTCCTAGAATTCCCCAGCCAGCCATGCTGGCTGGGGAATTCTAGGAGTTGAAGTCCACATATCTTAAAGTTGCTAAGGCTGAGAAACACTGCCATAGTGTATGGAAGATTGCAACTTGGAATGTTGGCTGGGTTTCTAGAGAGAGTTGTTGCTGTGCCCTGGTGAAGCTCTAGCATGAAGGGTGAATGAGCATTTACTTTGAATTGGGAGGACAATGTGTAGCCATGGGATTCCATTTTTCCAGCCACCAAAGCTGCCCTTAAGTAATAATGGACACTGCAAAAACCTGAGTGCAAACTCTACTACATGTTTAGCATAGGGTTGTTTTTTTAATACAACCAGCTGGGGGGAAACTCTGGAAAAACTTCAGCTCCCCAGAACGTGACATTTTCCCTTTGCATATAGCCCTCCACTAAGTAGCCTTCTCCTCCAATATTAAGCCCTCCTTCTGGGTACAAAATATTGCCTGCTTCTGCTATAGAAGTCAGGGAGGGGGAATAAAGATGTTTTGTGCAAGGAGGAGGGATTAATAATAACAGCCTTTGGAATCTACACATTATCATAAAATGTCACAGTGTTTTCTTGGCTTGGCTGATGTCTCTGCAGTTCTGCTAATTCAAGACATGCCATAGACGTGATCCCAGATCAGCCTTATGTTTCTTGGCTTGGCCTGGTGAACACCATACAGCCTTCTGGTGCCTTTGGAGGACGAGTTTCCAAGAGTAAAAACTAGCTACATTTCCTTATATAAATGTACATATTTATAAGACTCTACAGCGACGCTCCCCCACCAACCCCCGACATGATCAAGTTTTTCACCTTCATTAGAGTATAGCAGCTCTCCACAAGAAGGATAGGATAATTTCCTTTAACTTTTTTTTTTTTATAGAATGTAGCTTCAATTCAGCTCCTATTACAGTTGCTCCTTCAATATAAGCAAGGTTTTTAAAGTTGCCGGTTCCACCTGGTTTTTCATTATGATTCATAATGAAGAAAATCTGTTCTACAGGTGCATTTCTGTCAGGTAGATATATGGAAAACTGTGGAGGAAGGCCGATGTTTTTGAAAGTAATGCCCATATTTCCAAAATAAATCAAAATTTCTACACATCATTCATCTGCCAGCTTTTATTTTCCTCTGTTGCATTCTGCTGTTTTACCTGCACAATATTTCTTTACAATTAAATTTGTCAAAATACCTCTGCTTCACTGATTTTGCCATTTTGTAATTAGAAACCATAGAGAATAGCCTCTCTCCGTGTGTTTCTAGTCTAGGTTCTTGTTTAGCAGAGTCCATGAGAACATGAAAATGTGCATCCCATTTCTGCAGATCAGCAGGTCTCCAAGTGTCCTTTCAGGGGGTCTGTGGAGTCAAATATATATTTTAAAATTTCTCAGTGTTAATTTCTAATACAGTAAGTATTTGATAGATATAACCCACATAAACCAAAGCTCTGTGGGGTCCTCAATCACTTTAAAAATCTAAAGGGGTCCTGAGACCACAATGTTTAAGAACCTCTACTCTACATCAACAATACAACTGCCATAGAAAGAGGGGGCTATTTCTGGATGTGAATTGCTTGTGGTGTTATTTAAGAACAGCTTTAGCCTGCAGCCCCATGAAACCTCTTTCTCTTCTTTCAACCTAATCCTCTTTCAGGTTTCTCCATTTTATAATAATGTCTCAGTGGGTTTTTTTTCCCCTATCACTTTTATTGTGTTGTTGAATAGAGAGAAGTGATTGTGCAGAAACCAGAGCCAGATTTCATCATAAGGGTCATTCAAGAAGGGCTGTTGGAGTCAACTCCTGTGAGGAGGAAAAGTAAGAGGTGGGAATAGAAGGACCTTCAGTGTCCTGAGTTTTGCTTGTGTGAAGAATTCCAACTTAGTAAAATCACAGCATTCTTTCATTTGCATGGTTCTGAATGAATATGGGGGTATTTATAAAATTTGGCAACAAAACACTCAGTATCAAGGGTAGCGTGTCAGCAGCAGTTTGTATTGCATTATGGTCAGAGTAAGTTGCAACTCCACCAAGTTAAAGTACTTTTGGGGAACTTTGGCCTGCTTCATACTTTTAGTTTACCACCAAATTAATATTTGTGTTTTCAGCCCACAATTCAATCACTTTTTTCTTGAAAACTGTACAGTACTTACCAAAGGCCTTCCATATTTCTCCACACACACACAGTAAAGTACAATTTACATCTGACATAAAGATAAATTTCAAAAAGTTTATCTCTGCTGCTTTACAATATGTAAAACTCTGGGTATTGTTGGAGAAAAATCTGTAAGAAAAAAATTCTGAATTTATTTACAAGTAGTTCTTGCTTAATGACCATTTGTTTAATGACAGTTCAAAGTTACAATAGCCTTGGAAAGGATGCTTTATGACCTATAAAGCACTTCCAGTTGGTGTACAACATTGTGCTTGCCCCCCCCCCC